CCCCCCCCCCACCTCCCCTCTGGGAACCATCCGTGTGTTCTCTGTAGTTGAGAGCCTGTTTCTTGACTGTCTCTCTCTCTTTTCAATATATGCCAATACTCTGTTACAAGGACATACCACAGTTTACTTAGCCACTCTCCTTTTAATCTTAATTGAGCCCTGTTTCTTAATTTATATGGATTCTGTACATTTACTTTTCCTTAGAGAATGTTAGGTTTTCTTTTTTGTTATAGTTTTTCTTAATAATTGTTAATGGGATCTTTTCATTTTATCTTCTACCTGATTATCAGTCCGTTTAAAGAGTAAATGACTCTGGCTGCATTAACACATAAAATTACCGTGTTACACCTCGGCGAGTTTGTGCATTCGTTTTTCTGAAGTGAATTGGTTTTCTCTGACGGCCTGTGGAATACAGTTTTACCTCAGAGCACCGAGCCCCGCATCGTTTGTCACATGGTGCTAGTAGGCAGACACACACGATGACCATTATCCGTAGGTCTGGCCACTGAATCCTGGAAAACGGGGCTTCTTTACCTTGAATACTCTGCAAGTGTCTTTCCTACAGGAACAGCCATTTTCTGATAGTTTCAACTTTCATATCAAACGGTTTCCTTTCCAGCAAACAGGTGGATAGGGCATTGCTCTCCCTGTTGGGTGTGACCGTGTACCACAGCGCCCCTCCAGGAGAGAAGCGGTAGGTCAGTGCTGGTGCGCTGTGCGCCCCGCGGGCGCCGGGAGGAGGAAGAGCTCCGTCGGGTAGTCAGCGGTGAGGTCTGGCTCGCGTCTGCCCGGAGACTGTGCTCCCCAGGTCCCAGTGGTGCCGGTCAGTGTGTGGTCTCCGGGTAAGAGCGACATATTAACCTATAGTTAATTCGTGTCACCTTTTGAGTTCTCTGATCCTCTCCCTTTCCTGCTTAAGCCAGACTTTGAGCGCGCTTTTTCATTCTGAACACACCGCCTGCTGCTGACTCAGCTCTCTTCTCTTTAGTTTTAGGCCTTGGTCTCTTTACCGTATCTTCATATATACTTGAGGGTTTGGGTTTTTTTTTAATAGGTACTTTAAGGTACAGCATATGATTTTACACATTTTAATCATAGTTTTTTTTTCTAATTAAAAAAAGTTTCGATCCTTTAATATTCTGAGGATTTAGACGACGAATTCATTTTCTACTAACACCACAACTTGCAAGAGTAAAAAAGAACATGTTGAAACTCTAGAGAGCATGGACTTTTTGAGAGGTTATATAGTCATGAGATAGGATGAACTGGTTGGAACCCACCTGTTAGCTGGGTGGCCCTGAAAAATTACTTGATTTATTTCACTCTGTTTTCCTCAAATTGGAACATCAGGGTTAATTTTATCTACCTTATAGAATTACTTTTTACAATGACTGAATATGTGTGTGATATGCTCAGGACATTGCCTGGCATACTAAGCTCTCGATACAAGAAAAGTTCTTATTTATTAAGTATTTAGAGTAAAGAAGCAAGCTTAATACTGCAACTACATCATCTTATGTTATAGAAAGAAAAACATTAGATTTTTATCATATCAATCCTGAATTGTATGTAAGGATAACTGAGCTTATAGAATTATTTTTTTATGATTCCCATTCCAGAGTTTTACTTCTGGGCCTGGGCCCAAAACCATGCATGCATTCATTTGCTCATTCAATAATTACTTATTGAACACTGTAAATAGTGGTAGATGTAGGGCACAGGAATTCAGCAGTAGATAAAAGAAACAATCGCTAGCCCTGTGGAGCTAACATTACCCCCCATGCAGTCAAAGCTCCACATATAACTTTTGATTCCCCCCGGGAACTTAACTGCTAATAGCCTACTCTTGATCGGAAAAGCTTACCAACAACATAAGCAGTCATTTAGCATGTATTTCATATGTTATATATATTATATACAATATTCATGCAACAAAGTGAGCTGGAGAAAAGAAAGTATTAAGAAAATCATGAGAAAATAATTTACAGTACTATCTTTATTGAAAAAAAAAATCCGTGTGTAAGTGGCCCCACACAGTTCAAACCCGTGGTGTTCAAGGGTCATCTGTAGTGTGTTTGGGGAATAAGGAAGGAGTGGACATTTGGAGAGGAATGTGCAAAACGAATTTATAAGACCAGTTGTAAATGATTAGAGATTCTTTATTGTACTGAGTTATTCATATCACTGTTCCCATCATTAATCTAGAATCTGTTGGTAATAAGTAACTGGTTCCGTTCGCCCCTGCTAACCCAAGAGTAAAGAGCTGTAGCTGTGCGTTTTGTCAGTCTTTAATAAGTAATTACAGCATACTCATTTAAAAATGGAAGTTTCATTGGTCAGTGTTGTTTATATTTTTATTTTGGATTTTGCTTTCAAATTATGGCTCATAGAATGGTATCAGTAATTTGAAATATGTGCACATATGAACTGTACTAATATGTTCTTTTCTTCTTCTATAGGCTTTCTACAAGTATAAGAGAGTTACAGAATTTTAAAGTCTTATTACAACACAGTAGGTAATAAAGGCTTTTGTCTGATTAGAGACATAATCGGACTGTGTGAAGCCTGTTAGTCTTGGACATTCAGCAGAAGGAGACTAACCTTTAAAGACTTGAAGAAGGAATTCTGAACTCTTAAAGAAAAAATTAAAATGTTCACTTGAATATTTATGATTCTTAATAGATTGTCAATTAGAGATATTTATAAATGAAGTATATACTTTTAAAACATGTAAGTTATACTAATTGTGTTTAATTTCATGTTTCCATCTGTTGAAATAGTCTGCTATTCTGTTTTAGAATTGGTTTTTTCTTATTCTGTCATTCTTTATTTCCAGTTGTCGGACTTAAATGACCACTGTAATAAACACTGTTAGCGGTCTGTTGTGGAAAGGAGAGCTAGAGAACAAATGTTGCTTCGGGCTAGGATCAGTGATAGAAATTTATCAGTGATTTTTCAGACGTGTCCTTCGCCTTGCCTGATGTCACCTTCTGTAACCCGGAAGCATCAGTGTAATGAGTGGCCCTTTGAGTGTATAGTTATGGAAGGGACTGAAGAATCCCCAGGGCTTCAACTTCAGTTTCACTGGTTTTTAAAGATTTTTAGTTGCTGTTGTTGGTGGTGTTTTGGTTTGGTCTAAAGGCCCTGCTTCAGTAAAGGTGAATGCCTGCTGTCCCTCAGCTAGCTGCCCAGCCAGATAGCCCGTGTGCCGTGGGCTGCTCCAGAGGAGTCTTTACTTAGAACCTATACTATGTACCTGTTTCTTTTGATTTTGCATGTCTTTGTCCGTACTCCAATTTTAGAAAATTTTTGTTTACTTTGAGGAAAAAAATTTGCATAAATACTTGTTTCACTTTGATAAAATTTGAATGGGATTATATGGATTTATAATGCCACTTTAAAATGATATACACAAAATTTACTTTTAAATTAAGCGTTCTTGAAGGATTTTATTTTAGAGTACAATCTATGCAATCCTCTTTCAACCTGAATTTCTTTGGTAGGTTATTTAAACAGGTAGATGAATTCGAGCCTCGTGAAGCTTCCCCTCTCCCTTTCTTTTCAGTTCGGTTCATTGTATATAAATGGTACTTTGTGTGACTTGTACCAACAGATGACCTTCATGTCCTAAGCTCATTTTCTAAAGCTGGGATTTAAATATCCTCCAATATTTAAAATATTCTTTTAAAAGCTGTTAGAGATAGAATGTGATTAACTTGGAAGGAGGCATCTGTGTAGAAGTAATGCGGGTACAAAACCTAGAGTTTCTCCTTCGACTCTTCAGTCTTTTATGAAGTAAGTGCTCTTAAACCTGTACCTTACCTGCCAGAGTCTGAAATGTGTTCATCGATTATTTAGTTGGCTCACCCCTCTTTTAAAAACATTTGGTCATCCCTTGGGAGGGATATGGTTGAAAGGAGTAAGGTCTCACGGATTATTTTCTTACCCAGTTTCAACCTTTATAGACCCAGGGTTTTTTTTGTTGTTGATGGTGGTGACTTTTTTTTTTTTTTTTTTGGTTAAGTCAAATAAAACAGGCCGGCTTGATTGGAGCCTTCTCCACTTTTTCTTTTCATTTTTAGGGATGTAAGTATTGTGTGGTAGGAGAGGGGGACCCCAAAGTAAACTTGTCTAAAAAGTGAATAATCTTGTTGGTAAATTAATAAGAATTATTCTTAGTATTCATTCAGAGTTTAAGAAAATGTGAAAGTTTTGCACTTTGTCTATTATTACTGTAAGTTTAAGAATCTTTTTGGTAGTGTTACTTCACTGTTCCCTCAGTTAAAAGCTATTATTTAAATTCTGTTTACTGGAGAAAAATCCTTGGTCATTTCCAGTGATTTTTTTTTCTTTACTGTGATTTGTTTCAAGCTTAGGAAAAATTGTGTATTAGAGTGAGTTCTAGGAAACTAAATGGTTAGTATAAAAAGTTCTTTTCAAAGTTGTAATGAATTTTTGCACCACCAAGAAAATAAACAAATGAAGTATTCTTAAGCTGAAATTT